TCCTAATTATATAAATTTGAAGCATTTAACCATCTTATTTTATTTTTATTTTCTCCTCCGTCTGGATCATTTTGGCAAAACTATTTTCTAAATAAGAAAACACGCGAAAGTACGCAAAACAAAGAATAAACCAAGTCTCGCCTTATCTTCCAGATTTTTTCTAAAAAATATAAAAATTCATCTAGTAGAAAATCAATTTGCAGAATAGCGCAATGTCCTAAAACTAATATCCTTTTTTTTGTAATTTTATAGACTTTAAATATTAATAAAACTCTTTCTATTATATCTTAATATAAGATTTCATTATTTACACCATCTCCAAAAAAATTATGACACATGGTAAGCATATTGCTAGCCAAAATGCGCAGGCAGAGGACATCACACCTTAGAGGTGTCGGGGGCATAAGTGTATGCACCACAGTCAAATAGCTATACTAATTCTTTATCACATAATGTGCTATACCTATTCCATGGCATTCCTTTGCCAGCTGTGTACCATATTCCAACTGAACTTTTTAAATTCCAACTTCACCTTCATTACAGTAACTGCCCAGGGTCGGCATTTTTTAAGTCTGAACAATAAATTTTAAACCGGCCCTGAGCCAACCTAAAGTTAGTCCGACTTTTGAGTCGGCTCAGGTCCTGCAATTCAGGACCTGAGCCGACCGAAATTTATATTTGAACGTAAGCCGAACCTGAGCCGGCCCAAGTTCGGTCTGATTGCGGTCGATTTTGACATCTTATCTACCACAACATTCATTCGAACTGACTTGCGCGAAAAAAAAAAACATTGAGAAATAAATTGTTAAGGAAACTGTAGATACTAGAGTAAATTGTATTCAGTTGAACTACTAATAAAAGTTGTTATTAAAGGTCTCTATGCTTAACTAATTATTACTCAGAGACTCCGTGCGAAGCATAAGTATCATGAACCAAGTTGTAAATATGGGGAAATACCATGTGATACAAGGCTTACGCATGGGCAGTTTGGCAGTTAGGCTTCGACTTTCTTTTCTACAGTTGAATTCCAGTAGAGAAAAATATATGAGGGCTATTACAAGCTCAAGAAACCCCGTTTTTTGTATAGCACACATTAATTTAACAAGTTTATATTCTAAAATCATAACACTGTATAGCGGTATCATTCTTTTTGGGAACGTCATCCTCACCAACCATGTGCGTTTTGTGTCGACGTTCGTGAAGTACTCACATGACCCCGAGGACCGGAAAAAAATAATCGTTTGTTATTGTTATGAGCGAAGCTGGTTCTGAAAAGCGTCAAAAAATGTTTGTGAATGAATCTAATAAGAAAATAATTATTGCCAAATAGATAGATCTCGATGTTACTTATTCACAATCTGTGTCCAAACTTTGACAGTAACTCTCAGTCTTACATAGGCCTATACAGTTTACAATATACAGTTATGGACTTTCGAGATAACGAGTCTAGTTTGGAACAGAGTAAAGTCAAACTGCGCTAATTATGGCTACGCTTAAAAAATCGAAAAAGTATAAGGACAATATTTGAAATTAGGTTCATGTTTCACGCGAATTCCATGTGTTTATCCTAGGTTGTGATTTACCGTTCCACATTCATGTAATGCGATCGCTTGAAGTTTTCATCGACCCGGCCCAAAGGAGAAGTGTGAGCGTTCATAAACGGCCATGAACCGACTTAAAAATAACTGTGAATGAGAAAATTTGTTGAGTCGGCTATGAGTCAGCCGTATTTAAGCCGGCCCTGGTCCGACCCTAGGCCGGCCTAATAAGTGTGATTGGGCTCATAGAGTGACAGCAAATACCAAGCTTTCTATATGCTACCTATTTGGGACAATGATGTGGGGAGTTGGGTTGGTGAAGAGATTGTCATTTCAACCTTGGCGGTGGATGTACTAGAGTGTATGATGCAACATAATGGCCGCTAGTTGGAAAATACAATACTCTCTTTAGTTCAACAAGTAGACCAAAGACTAAAAACATTTAATCAGCATGAATGTAAATGGCAGTCAAGTCCAAGTTAAAACTATATTCATCCAAAAATGGGAAATATTAATAGCATGGATAATACATGGGCCATGCTAATCATATCAAATCAATGTAGTAGGGGATACATACTAAATTTTCCTAGCATGGGCGTGTGTAGTATTTATCATGTGAATTGAGTATAATGAATGAGCCAACTAACCAAAGTATTCTCCTTCGTCTGGCCGACTGTCCATATTCTGAACCAGAAGATTGGTCAGCTGGTCAACCTTTGCTTCCGGACCGGTTTTATCAGGGTTAGAGATTGGTTGGTCAGATGGCTGAGGCAGAAAATATGCCCATTCAGTGGATTTGGCCTTCTGGGTACCAGGGGGGACTGGTTCTTGAGGGCGGGGCACTTGTGGTGTGCGGCGAGGTGCATATGACTGGGTCTGCGATGGAGGACGGCCTGGCTCTGGGGCAGTACGTGGAATCTGTCCAACATGTGCACGGGGGTATGGTTCATTGTATGGGGCATTTTGAGGTGGTGGTGGTGGGGCATAATTGGCACCATACCCAGGTTCTAGTGGAGGTGGAGGAGGAAGATCGTCAGTTTGTCCACTTCCCATCTGGTAGTTGACTGGGGGTGGTGGAGGGGGAGGTAAATCATCATCAGGCACAGAGTATGCTACAGGGGAATAACTAGACAAACCTGCAAACAAACAAATGGTTAGTTTAACAAAAAGTATTCAAGATAATAATTTTTTTTTTTTTAATTTTTTTTTAGAAATTGGCTTTTTTACAAATAACAATACAGAATAAACAAAAATAAATTTTGCAAGGAAATACTATCTATCATAATAAATCTAGGAAATTTGTTAAGAACACAAGTTGAATATTGGTCAAAACTCATGCAGATAAATAAATAAAATTAATAAAATGTATATAATGGCAGTGGTAAATGTCATGTCAAGACAATAGAAGTATACAACAACAATATTTTTTTGCACATCAATAACTTATTAAAATGAAACATGCAAAATAATACTGGAGGAAAATGGCTGTTAAAGTAATATAAATTGCAAAAAAAAAAAAAAAAAATCAAAAATCAGCACACAAACGTACAGTGTTAAATTTATGGTGAAGTTAGAATGCAACCTCATAAATGATGGTATAGAAAAAAACGTAATTAAAAAATTGAAGATGTGTTATCGAACATCTTAAAATATTCATGGCATTTTTCAATGTGTTTATGAATATTGTTGATGAATAATATATCGTGGCCTAAATAAGATGTGTTGCCATAGTTATGAGCATTCATAAGATGTGCATGCTATCTATCAATATCATAGGAATATTCATGAGGACTTCCATGGGTTTGATTTTGGGGTGGTGCCAGGATTTGCTTGCTTGGTTTATGTCACTTAAATCCAATCTAACCATATACTTTAATTTTCCTGTTTTTGAAAATATATGTGTCTATGAAATTGTGGACAATGTACATTGTTCAGCAATATTGGAAATCCAAATTCAAAGATTTTGGACAAATGACTTTTACTCACAAATGCACAACTAAATTTGACATGACCCCTGACCTACTGATCACTGGAATGGAGGCATGCTTATGCACCTGTACAGTAGCAGCCATTTTGTTGAATACAGATAACAGAGGATTACTTCCATGTTGTAAAGTTAGCACTCAAAATATTCAATATACATTGACAAATATTTTATATTTATGGTTTTAAAAACCAATACCTGTACAACATATATGGTTACACAACCCACACTAACATGCTGTGGTCATGACAACTACTGTATGTCTGGAATACAGGTACTTCCTATTATAGGTACTGCACACAATTTAGTTTGTTTCAGATGTTGAATAAAGCTACATATAATTCATTAAATTTAATATAAATTCATTTTCAAAGTTCATTCTTTGCAAAAAATATTAATAAATTGCCTAGGCTATAATGATACATTGAATCTAAAAATACTGAATTATCATATGGCTTATTAATTTATTAATGATAGAGTAATTATAAATGCTATTTAATTCTTTATATATATATATATATACTGTCTCTTATACACATCTAGATGTGTATAAGAGACAGATAATTTTATTATTGGGGAGATTCCTTTTAAAAACTAAATTAGTTAAGATAAAAAAATGCATAATGACTCAAAAAAATCATTTTTAATTCAGAATTTGATTATTGGGGCCATTTTTACCTACCTGTCATATGGGGCCATTTTTACCGGGGCCATTTTTTCCGGGGCCATTATTTCCAGGGCCATTTTTTCTGGGGCCATTTTTTCCGGGGCCATTCTTACCATACACCACTCACATGACCCCGAGGACCGAAAAAAAATAATCGTTTGTTATTGTTATGAGCTAAGCTGGTTCTAAAAAGCGTCAAAAAATGTTTGTGAATGAATCTAATAAGAAAATAATTATTATTGCCAAATAGATAGATCTTGATGCTACTTATTCACAATCTGTGTCCAAACATTGACAGCAACCCTCAGTCTTACATAGGCCTATACACTTTACAATAAACAGGTATGGACTTTCGAGATCACGAGTCTGGTTTGGAACAGAGTAAAGTCAAGCTGCGCTAATTATGGGCCTTGGTTATTATATAATTATATAATTATTGTCGCCATAATCATGAAGCAGAAAAAGTATAAGGACAATATTTGAAATTAGGTTCATGTTTCGCGCGAATTCCATGTGTTTATGCTAGGTTGTGATTTACTGTTCCACCATCATGTAATGCGATCGCCTCGAACTTCATGTCCTGCAATTCATCGACCCGGGCCAAAGGAGAAATGTGGGCGTTCGTAAAAGGCCCTGGGCTGACTTAAAAAATAACTGTGAACAAGAAAATTTGTTTGAGTCGGCCATATATAACAGGGGCGGATTTAGGGGCCCCCCCCCCCTTTTGAGAGGTAAAAAAAAGAAAAAAAAAAAGAAAAAAAAAAAAAAAAAAAAGAAAAACGAAAAAACAAAAAAACTCAA